GAAAAACTCCCATCTCATTTTCTCCTCCAACTTCAAAATCGTCCTACATCGCTGCAGAAGTACCGACCCAGTGTTTACAAAGTGAACGTGCAAAGAAGGTCAAAAAGGCCCTTTACAAAAAAACGGTAAAACAGCGATGTAGGACGATTTTGAAGTTGGAGGAGAAAATGAGATGGGAGTTTTTCGATATACCCTAACTGTCATGAATGCACAGAGTTCACGCAGAATTAGACAAGACAAGCGTTTGAGGTAAAAAAGTATATAAATTGTAATTTTTTTTAGAAAATGACCGATCGTTTCGCTAGATAAGACCCTTCTTCCTCGTCTGGGATCGTGTAGAACGCTTTGAAGCTGCACTGAAGCTGCAATTTGGACCTTCCACCCAGTGGACCCCACTGAAGTTTGAGCAAATAGTTGGTGCATCACACTTATAATAAGTACTTATATTTGGACTATTGTAGCCTGGTCGGGTCGTCACCGCTACGGAGTAACGCATACCTGCGTGAATCGCCATAGACATAAACTTAGAGAAGTAGTTCCGGTTGGAATGTTCTTCCGCGGGATGTGTGCAGTTCTGTTTATTAACCGCTAGAGCGCCAAAAGTTACATAGTGCTGCTTTAACTGAAAACGTTTAAATGATCAAAATTAATCTTTTGCAACTATTTGCTTTGTTCAACACCTGTTAGATCAGAGAGGAGAAGCCTTTCTTTCTTTCTTTCTTTCTTTCTTTCTTTCTCCCTCCCCTTACTCACTCTGTGCTTCTCATTTCTTATTTGTGCATCCTTGTTTCCTTTCTTCACTTCCATTTCTCATGTCTTAGCTCCAACCACTTAGGATGCAAGAAAAGAAAATGAGGATGGAGGAATCAAAGCAAAGCTTATGGGTAAACTACCTTGATGGACATCTCAATTATCTAATTGCATCATGAGGTGTAAGGAAGTTTTCAGGGGAGCTATGAGTGAGGATACACGGGTGTATTCTATGTGGCAGTCTTTCTTGTCGAAACGTGTATGCACATATAAATTCTTCTCCCCCTTCACATCTGTCATAATTTTAATTCATGTTTTACCTTTGCAGTTTAAATAAACCATACATCTTATATTTTTCAACAGGGCGCTTTGCTTTATTATATTTATTATGAGTGTTTTAAAGAACCAAACTTTAACAACACAAGGGCAGATCCACTGAGCATAGCTGATGAAGCTTTGAAGTGATGCTTGAGTGATCAAGAATATTCCAGTGTACAAAAAAGCTTTCCTTTGATTTCTCCGTCCTCATTTTCTCTCCTTGCATCCTGCCCTCACATCCTAAGGGATGGAGCTATGACTCGAAGAAAGGAAACTATAATGGGCAAATAAGAAATGAGAAGCACCCCTTTCTCCCTTCCTTTCTCTCTTCCTTCCTTCCCTCAGTCCTTCCTTTCTCCCTTCCATCCAATTGAATTTTGTTAAAGACTAGCACAGTGTATCACAATACTTTTATTCAAATAACATAATTAATGTGTATGGCAGTGTCCTTTTAAAAACTATTTTAACTTGCTCTTCATTTTCTGTAGATGTATCGCTATATGACAGCATTTCTGTTGGACAGTGGAGTGAGCATCGAGCCATGTAACCGCTATTCCTCTGAGACTAATGGAGCTAAAATCACATCCACCCGACACTGGTTAGAATCACTGTTTTTTTTTTTTTATCATAATTTTTCAGTTGTTCAAGATCAACATTTAAACTATATGTTAATTATTAAATTCTAACACATAATAAACTGGTCTACTTTTTAAATTCTGTTGATGACGGTGTTTAAAGATATGACAATGTTGAATTCTCCAGGCTTGTGGGAGAACGGGTGGAGGTCCTGCAGGGCTGTATAGCTGAGCTGAGCCCTGAGGATAGTGCCGTCCTCAGAGCAGGAGTGAATGACTTCAGTGTCATGTACTCGACGCGCAAGAGATGTGCTCAGCTTTGGCTGGGGCCGGCTGCCTTTATCAATCATGGTGAGAGAGCCCGTATGCATAAATGGATCAGTAATATTCATCTTTTTCAAAATACGGTCTTTGATAACGTACAGGATCTGATTACAATATTTTCTGTTTTGTTTTATTGCTGGGAGAAGACTGCAGACCCAACTGTAGGGTAAGATACTAAATGATTGCTTTTGCTTAACCAGCAAATCTTTTGAATTGCGTACACTTTACACTATTATATATGTAGTGTATCTTGCAGCTTGAATGTCCATTTATGTACATTAGATTCATTAGACTTCTCTTTAAAGTTGAACTAGGTCTTGCTAGATCTGATAAAAGAGAGTAAGGCGTTTCTTTCATTTGCTTTCAGTTGTCATGTTTGTATTCACTCTATAATATATAAAACTATACCAGTTTTTCTTTAGTACAAATGACTGATTCGATACCTGCACGCAGTCGGCTGATGCGTGTGTGCACTGAGATGTGCTTAGGTACACATCTGTGTGTGATGCACCATCTTGGCATCTTGATTGTACACAGACAAGACGAGAATCTGGTATGTCACAGTAGATCTGTGCAAGTGGTGAAATGCAGCCTAATAGACCTGTCACTGTCCGTTATTTCTTTAACAATTATCAAACAGCAGTATTGACCAGACAAAACCATTTACTGCTCATGTGTGGATCGCTTTAATAAGCCTTTTAAGAACACTTTGTTTCATGTCATTTGTTTCTTTGTTCCTTATCGAAGTGGCTTGTCTTGAATAATTGAGAAAGCAATGTTTCTCTCATTGAAACACACTTGAAGGCTGTATGGTATTGTTTTTGATGTATTATTTATTTAAATAGTAAGGAGTTTGGTATCAAGTGATTTTAACATTTTGTGACATTTCACTGGTATTGGTATGTATTACTGAACCTTGGTATCATTACAACCCTTCCATGATAATAATGTGAGCGAAAGTGTTTACTTGGAAATTGGCGCTTGTTCTTTTAGATAAACGTGAGACAATGTGCTGTTTTGTTGTAAAGCGAAGAGAGAAATAAGTATACTGATAAAGGGCAATGATACAGAAATTAACATTTCTCCTGTGTTCTCCTGTATCATTTATTTTCTTTTATCTGTATGCACCACTGATCTATATTATAGATCAGTGCTATGCACATATATTCTACTCGGGTTGTGTTAACTTTAAAACATTGTGCCCTTTACAGGATTTTAAAAAGCACTGAAAGATCATTTCAAACACTGTCCATTACTTTTACAGATAATTTAAACTAGTGCTGTCAAACGATTAAGATTAATCGCATCCAAAATAAAAGTTGTTTACATAATATATGTATGTGTACTGTGTATATTTATTATGTATATATAAATGCACACACATACATGAAAATATTTACATGTATATACATTTATATATTTATATTCTTCTATTTTATATTATATATAAATATATTTAATATACAACATAACGTGTTTGTATTTATACATAATACATATACACAGTATATACGCATATATTGTGTAAACAAAAACTTATTTTGGATGTGATTAATCGCGATTAATTGTTTGACAGCACTAATTTAAACCTAGCTCATATTTTTAATTTTAACTATTTGTATGTGATTTCACTCTCTCTGTGTTTATAGTATTATTATTAACTCATTTCCATGTTTTTTCAAGTTTGGGTTGTTGTAGTCCTAAATGTAAATACATTGACTGACTTATGCAAAAAAAAAAAATACACTACTGTTCAAAGATTTGGGGTCAGTAAGATATTTATTATATATTAAAGAAATTAATACTTTTATTTAGAAAAGATGCATTAAATTGATCAAAGTGACAGTAAAGGCATTTATAATGTTACAAAATATTTCAGTCCTTTTAGGGTGCTTTCACACTAGCACTTTTGGTGCGCACCCGGGTTCGATTGACGTCAGAGTTCGGTACGTTTGGATGATGTGAACGCTGTCTTCCGAACTCGCGTGCGCACCCCCGACCCGTACCCGAGTCCGCTTAAAAGGAGTGGTCTGGGGTATGGTTCAAGTGATCTCCGGTACAGTTCGCTGCTGATGTGAATGCAATCGTACCAAATCACGGAAGTGAACCGCTATTAATGACGTATTATTTGATAAAAATGTGTGTTTGTGTGTGTTTCACTCACTTTCCTGACGTTTATTAGTCAACATGTATGTAAATTTTATTATTTATTTTATTGTATTATTTTATCTGACTTCAGTCCTAACAGGGCATCACCCTTTTTTTAATTACATTTCCTTAATTTGTTTTCACTTGTTTCCCGGCATATGACTAAATAGATTATAGGCAAACAGTGTATACTGAAAAGTAATTTGCTCATACTGTTTCTGTTCCTCCTATTAGTTTGTCCCTGGAGATAAGAATGGAGCTTGTATAAAAGTGGTGCGGCCCATCTCACCGGGGGAGGAGATTACCAGTTACTATGGGGACAGCTTTTTTGGAGAGAATAATGAAATGTGTGAATGTTGCACATGTGAGAGGTGAGAGAATATACGTTAATACTGCTTCAAGGCCAATCTGCTGTGGGTATTATAGTGATGCGGGATCTATAACGCACAATTATCTCAATGGATGCTTGTAATTGGTCTGAACTGTATTAGGGTTTAATGTCAATTAGGTTTCTAATGACAGAAATACATTTAAAAGCCTTTTAAATCTGCTTTTATCACAACTCTAATGATGCCAATCGATGCAGGAGAGGAGAGGGATCATTTAAGAAGAGAGACCAGTCACCAGATGTGGCTTGCTCTGGGGATCCTTCAGGACAGAAATATGAGTTCAGAGAGACCGACCTAAGGCTTAACAGGAATAGGGGAAATGGCACCCCAAAGCCGTTTCTCACTGTATCAAACTCCGGTATGCTT